AGGCCAGTAGATGGTGCTGTTCTCACTGAATCTGCCCTTGCAAATCCAGAGCTAAAAAATGTCAAATTGAGCAAAATGAGGCATGGCTAAAATGCATGATCTGTTTGGTATTTTGAAAAAAAAAAAGTATAAATATGCCTTATATAGGTATGGTCCTACACTATATTATTCAAATATAGCATGATAGGTCCACTTTAAGATAAGATAAGATCATCCTTTGTTAGTCCCACATCAGAGAATGTGTTACTGTTAAAGCAGCAAAGGGGACAGTGCAACAAGATACATAAGTAAAGAAAGGCAAATAATATACAAGTAAACGGTAAGACTAACTAAAAAATAGAAGACAGACTGCATGGTTGAAATTCACATGTTTGCACCTGTTATATTAAATATTGATACTGCACATAATGATAGTATTGCATAAGAGTTGATATCACACCAAATATTATTATTAAGACTATGTATTTTGTTTGAAATTCTATTTTATACCAGAATAAAGTGAAATCACCCTTTATATGTATGTAAAGAAAACGCTTTATATAATAATACAATTAATACCTACGCCGAAAAGATATGTGAAATATAATATATTTATATTATTTTGGTGGTAAGTTGATATGACATGCAAAGCATATCTTTTGAGGGAACTACTGCTATGCATTTGGCCATGTCATTTACTCAGCTGCAGTTTACCTGGGCTACACTTTCTAGCCTTTAGCTTAAACTTTTATTTGCTCCCACAGCTCCACCTTCTGGTTGTCAGAGAGACTTTCCGGGCTCAGACAGCCCCCCTCCTGTGGTCTTCACGATGGGTTCTCCGTCCAGAGGAGGCACTCCTCCTGATAGCACACTGTCAAGGATGTTCTCAGGTAGGTGTGAGAAATATTGACTTACTGTTGAGTGCATTCATTTTTAACCGTTTTTTTAAAGTTTGTATTGTAGTAGGTGTGTGAGATGTCCCTAGGATCAGTCTTCTTCATCATTTAAAAATTGCAAATTTCAATAAAAAAAAAATGTCATGAAAAAAAAAGCACTGAAAGCCCTCTTTGGGCATAGTGCTGGTAAAGAAAAAATATTATTTTTTTTAATTCCGAAATCTTGTTTCTTACCTAATTTTCATTTAGATAAAAGTTACATGCAAAGTATTGATTACAATAACATATTGTCCTTCTTATAGAACACAACTGGGTATTGTTACTCATAAACGATTCATCAGTTAGTCCCATGCTTTAATCACAATCATATTTCTGCTGTTCAGAGTTCAGTAGTTTTTGTATTTGTCTTAAATGCAGGCTCCCCCAGCTACATTAACTCAGCCATGCTACTGAACAGTCGCCTTCTGCAGGGAGGAAGTCGTAGAAACAGTGAGACTGAAGCCATGGATGCTAGTCTGGTCTTTCACCCTCCAGAGCTCCCTGAAGATACACTGATGGAGGTACAGAATAATACTACGATGATACTGTGGGGGGAAACCTCCAGGTTGTTTTTAAGTTACATACATAATGTATTTTTGGTAGATCAATAAACCAAGCCAATATTTTATTTATATAGCGCCTTTTGAGCAAATCAAATCCACTCCCAAGTGCTTTTCAAGAGATTGACATAAGATGAGCCTAATATTAAAGGATTCTGATTGCCTGTGAATGTTTCAGTATTCACAGTATTTGTTCTTTTCCCAGCCGACTCATACAGATGCTCTGAGCGACCTGCGTTTCACCTTGGCTTTTGTCGTCTGTGTCATGGAATTGGCTTCTTCTAAAGACTCGGGGGTGGATGCCACCAGCAACCCTGATGTTTCCTTTCTAGAGCAGAGCTTGGTGACGGATCAGATCAGCCTGCTGAGTAAAGAATGGAGGTGAGAGGCATGATATCTTTTTATCAATATGTACAAACGCTACTTTCCCTAAGAACTTGGAAATGACTGCTGTTTGGTTTGTGCATATTCCAGCTACGCAGAGCAGTTGGTGTTGTACATGAAGGCTGAGGAGTTTCTGTCATCGGCACTGCACACCGCTAAAGAGACGATCAAACAAGGCGAACTTGTTCCCTCTGCTACAGTCAAACAAGGTGAGACCAACCGAAACTCAAGACCGATCCACTACCAGTGTTTAACTAATAAGCTGTTTACCTCACTTTTTGGAGGTAACCAGGATCGTCTTTGATTTGTAACACAACATCACACTTCACTTGAACATTGATTTCCTAAGAAACAAATTCAACAAATAAATACATAGATATACATTTATGGAATTGTGGTAAAGTGGAATTACTATTCAAGTGTACACTTTAAAGGCAGCTACAAATTGGTCAAAACTCAAACAATTATCTAAATACTAGTATATGATTTATATAGTATATTAACATAGTATAGAATTCAATAGATGGCCCCATTGTGAACTAAACCTCTACCCGATCCAGCTATTTGATTCAGTATTGATGCAATAACTATTGGTACTTAATCATTTGTTATAATAATAATAAGAGGTCTTTGTATACTGTATTTCCTTTGTGCAGTGATAAAGAAGTTGAATGAATTGTACAAGAGCTGTGTTACATACTGTCGCAACCTCAACCATCGCCTTCAGACCTTCTTGCTGGACAAGCAGAAGCTAATGGACCGCTTCAATGGTCTCACAGCAGAGAAACTCATCTACAGCCACACTGTGCACATGGTGAGCTCACCTCGCAGCAGGGGGATGTTGATATTCACTTCAAATCTAATTCTAAATGCATATGTCCAGCATGCATCTCTATCTTAGACGTAATGCATGTGTTCCTGCTGCATTCAGGTACAGAGTGCTGCTCTAGACGAGATGTTCCAGTATGGCACAGCATCAGTCCAGCGCTACCAAAGAGCCCTTTTGCTGATGGAGGGTCTGTCCCGGATCATCACAGAGCAGAAGGACATCGACAGCATAGATAAATGTATGTGGCAGAACTTTGACACACAAATAACAATATGGTCGTTTAAATGCTAAACTTAGGCATTAGAAATTAACCGTACCGTATAGTACCCAATAATCGGTACTGTCGGTTTTGTTGGACCGATCAGCCTCATTATTTGTGCCACATGGTGTTGGATGCAATCAAGCATCAGACTATTGGATAACATTGTTCACGCTCTTAATACATTTATATTCAGATTTATTTATATTAAGACTACTGAATATTACGTAAAATATAGCCAACAGCAAGTCATTTGTTATAAGAAACGTTCAGCTTCCTAGAGATCTCACTCCAGACTTTTGTAGCAGCACTTTCACAAGAAATGTGGACATTTTATATCAACAGCATTAAGCGTTTTGTTAGATATGTTGAACTGTTTCTTCTGGGAATTTTTTATTTTTTTAAAATAAAGTTGGATATTACATAATTCATTTTCAGTTCTTTTTTAGTTGTCCTGTCACCTGGAGCACTTTTATTTTCAAATGTGATTGATTCAGGGTGAGAGAAGGTCCTGTATCTTGGTGGAGTTGTTCTAATAGTCAATGTTTTATTATGAAAATACAAATCAGTTTTACTTTTCTATGAAAGAAACAAACAAAAAAATATTTGTGAATGCTGATGAAAAATGAATAGAAATAAAAATGGCAAGCTGCGAAAAAATAAAGAGTAAAAGAATCTTGAGAATCAGAATCGTTCCTAAAAACTGCATCTCTAGCTGGACTTATACTAAATACAATAGGTGTCATTTTAAATCCTATGTGTTTTAATCTCTCTTTTCTCAGGTAAGCAGTGTATTGAGAGACGCCTTACTGCTCTACAGACCTAACAGTAGCCGCAAGTTCTACAACTGAAGCCACAAAAACTGCATTATCTTGACTCATCCATCGCCCTAGATGGATCCTCATAGACTGTCAATACACTCAAGCACTTTTGACCTGTCTTAAGGGAAATGACCACTGGAGCATCTGCTCTCATCCCACCAGCCACTCTGTAACCTTTACATAAATGCTCAGAAAAGACTGCAGGTCCTGTTTTGTACAGGTTCACGGTGACAGATTGTGGCATGATTGTTTGAATACTTCAATCAGGGAAATTGTTTTCAGTATAGTGTTGTTTTGTTACAGAATGTACAAGTTAGTGTGTTGTTTTGTGTTTTGCACATATAATCAGATTATATATTAACTGATTTTGAATGTGTGTTGTACTTGAAACAAGAAACAAATAAGGTGTTTTCTGTATTTGTAGCACTGGTTGTATATGGACTGTAAAGGTTCACTAGTCACCAGAATTAAGAATGTTTTGGATGAGATGACCAAATGTGTTGCGGTAATAGTAAAACTGTGCCTGCTTATTCACATTTTGCGTCACAAGAGAGTAGTAGATGACGCATAATAATTGTCTTCATTGTAATCTAGATTTACAGTCTACGGTCATATTAATTTACATCATTGCAATAAGTATATTTTGACATTTTAATGTGATTTTAGTTTTACAACCACTGATCCAACAATGCCCTGTGGTGATGTAGTTAACTGCATGCTACATTGGTTTTGTTTATCAGATATGTGTTTGTATCTGTGCACATTAGTTTTTGTAAAAGATGGTATATTTGAATGATTGTGTTTTATTTTTGCCTGATAGTAATCCTACACTAGTTTCTCACAAATGAATGTACACATATGAAAATGTTAGTGTTCAAACGTAAGTTTGTAAGAATCAATCAAATTGTCTCTTTTACTTGTATTTTATGACTGCCAGTGACATTTGCCAAAATAATTGTTAAACACTGTGTGATGAAAATAAATAATATTTATTGTAAAACGATAGAGCTCTTCAAATCTGATTTATTCTCCATCCTAAATCAAATGTCTCGAAGCACAACTTGAACATTACAATTACACCTTTTGGTTTATTCAATGGGAGCTGGATTCAGTTTCTTAAGACTAAATACAAATCAGGCCTTTTTACAGAAAATAATGCTGTCTTTTATTTCGTCGGTACACCACTTCCTGGACACAGAACGAGATCCGGGTTATATAAAGGTTGCCGCGGTCGCCATGTTGGTGAATGAAATTAGCTCCAAAACATTGAATAGCCGCTAGCAATATCGATATTTTTTTCCCCGTGAAATAACATTTGTTACAGCATGTAACTTATTGTAAATATGACTTAGGATTTATGAAACCTCTACAGAAGCCCCATTCCCCGTAAGTAACCCCGTTGAGGTGATATAATGTATTTTTTCAGTGGAAGCTGGCCTGCTAGTAATAACAAGCTAACATCGTTAGCATTGGCTAGCATGCCTCCCGTATCAATTATCATTATAATTGCTTGAAATGGCTCATGCGGCATTATTGCAAGTGTTGCAGTTTACTATTTGTGATGTACTGTGAAAATATTGCCCCCCCCTACCCATAGTCCCTACCTAAATATTGTGATAATTGCCGGTGTTTATGTCTTGGTGTAATGCTACGTGTGTTAGCTAACGTTACGCCCCGTAGCGAAACTGCAAGTAGCTAACGTTAACGTCTTTGATACTACCATGTACATCTAATTGAGATATGTAGTAATGCTATTGTGTTGTGAGAAAAGAGTAACGTTAGTCTACTACAAAGTGTCTCCCCGTTGTAATGTGCTGTTAATATGCCATCACTAACCGTACAAATCTCCATCACCAGTATCAGTACTGCTGTCACCTTTGTTTAATATGTTGATTGCTTTAGCTGATTTACAGTGATAAACAGCCTCATTCTTTATCCAGTTATGTATATATATTTCGTTAGCTTAAAAGTTCACACAAGTGTAAAGATCGGCTATAGCTATATTACCTTAATGAGGTTAATAAGGCTTTATTGTCATATGCACAGTAGCTACAGTGTAGTTATGGCAAGGAAAGGTCCCATGCTCCTCCAACAATGCACCCTAAATATAAACAAGACATTAAGCTAATTAAAAAAACAACAACAATAAAATAGTGCAAGATTATGTTGCAAGACCAGTGTGCAGGTAATGCAGAAGTGAATTATAAACATGTCAAATAAAATACAATAAGCTAAATGCTGCAGAGAATGTTGTAAATGCATGAGTCTAAATACATGTAAAATAGAAAAAGATAAACAAAAACAGAATGTAAAATACTGTACAGTGGAATAAATACTGCTTATTGTAGTCATAAATACATTTGTGCTTTCAAGGTGTATGTACTGATCTTTAAGGTAACATCCCTTTTCAACATTGCTTTTAACACACAATCGCTGTGCCAAATGAGTGCATTTTAATGTGTGTGTGTGTGTGATGATGTGCCAGCTGTCAAGCGTGAAGTCAAACGGTACTGCCCGTTAAGTTTAACATTTCACACACAGTTCATTTAACAGGGTCACTTTATGCTTATATTTATTTAAATAAGTATATGAGTACTCTATATGTAAACCAAAAGCTGACATCCAATATGATTACTCAAGTACTCATGCCCATCCCCTGACCTGACAGTTCGAAAAAATCATATTCTGTGTATTGTAATTACAAATCATTGAGACGTCTGAAATCTAGGAGAGTTTTACATTTGTGTCATGTAACCATGCGCTCCAAACCTATAGAATACTTGGGTTACCTAAGAGAAAAACGCTTCTGACCATTTTCTTTTTGGTTCCCATTCAATAGTCAAGCATCACTTTATCATTATGTTTTGTTTTGCCTCTCCACAGATTATTGTGTATAGACATAGTAACAGTTTTACGCAATGCACCATGGAAGTGGATCACAGAATATGCAACGACAGCTTCAGAGATCCAAGCCTGCCAGTGGGGCTGAAGCAGAGGAGCAACAGCAGCCCACCATGGCAGTCACGCAGCAGCAAGCTACAGCTAACCACCCTCAATCTCCTGTGACCACATTTTCCTCTGCTGCCAGCCCTTCAGCCCCCCAGTCGCCCAATTATCAGATAATCATGAGTCGCAGCCCAGTCACCGGCCAGAACATGAACATCACATTACAAAATGTGGGACAGATGGTGACTGGTAACCAGCAGATCACTCTTACACCACTTCCCATACAAAACCCATCATCCCCTGGCTTCCAGCATGCTACACCTCAGTGGAGGTTTGAGCACGCTCCATCCTCCTACATCCAGGTCACCTCACCTGTGCCCCAACCCATGCAGCCCCAAAGTCCCACCCAGCACAGCCCGGTCACAAGGCCAGGAGCACCTGCAACAGCATTGGGTGTATGTGGACAGAGTCCAACAAGATTTGTTGATGCTGGTATGTTAGTGCGGCAAATCAGCTTAAACAGTCCATCGGGAAGTGGCCACTTTGTTTACCAGGAAGGTACAGGGCTGGCCCAGATTGCCCCGGCCACACCTGGCCAGATACAGCTGGCCTCTCCAGGAGCACCAGGCTCTGTGAGAGAGCGCCGGCTCTCTCAGCCTCACTCACAGACTGGAGGCACCATCCACCACCACGGACCTCAAAGTCCTGTTGCCACCGGTACTTCTCTCTCGACTCTGGGCAGCCCTAATCACATCACCACGTCTAACCTACCTCCACAGATCAGCAGTATCATTCAAGGACAGCTGGCCCGCCCTATGATATTTGAGAAGACGTTGCAGGGTGTTGTTGCTGGAGTAGGAACCACAGCATCATTCACTATTCCCTCCTCCATTCCACCGTCTAACCAGTCCCTCACGAGTCCAACCCAAGGGATCTCCAACAATCCTCTTGCACCAAACAGCATGACTGTGGCCACTATGAGGAAGCAGGTTCCCAAGAAGTTGGAGGAAATTGCTCCTTCTACTCCAGAGATTTCCCAGCTAAGAAAACTATGTTTGGAGCACCACACCAAGAAGATGGACAGCCTGAAAGAAGTGTTCAAAGAATACCTGATTGAGCTTTTCTTTCTGCAGCACCTGCAAGGGAACATGATGGACTATGTTGCTTTTAAGAAGAAGCCCTGTGTTCCCTTGTATACTTACTTGAGACAGAACGATTTGGACCTAGAAGATGAAGAGGAAGAGGAAGAACAGTCTGAAGTCATTAATGATGAGGTATATTGCCTTTTTATACATTTGAGATAAAGTAAGACATTTTACAAGTAAAGGAATGCATGTTCATTTTATCCAATGAATGTTTTTAATCTCTCATATCGTTTTATTTTTCAGGTGAAGGTTGTTACTGGAAAGGATGGCCAAGCAGTGACACCAGTTGCCATAGCAACACAGCTTCCTGCTAATGTTTCTGCAGCATTCTCTGTCCAGCAGCAGTTTCAGGTGATATAGGCAACACTTATTAGATCAAATGATCTATTATTTCTTTCTTAATTTATTTGACGATATGTGTTGCTAATTTCTAACTCCCTAGAGGTTGTTTTTCAGGGACACCAGGTTTCTGGTGGTACCATTACAAACCCTGGAGACATGGATGCCTTTAAGAGGCAACAGGCTATGGCAGGTAGGGCAAGAATCGCAAACTCCTGTCTTTCTGGTGTTGCTTTGTTTCCTCCCTGTTTGCTTTGTTTTCTGTTTGGTTTTTTTATCCCTCTAATTGCTTCTGCTTTAAGATATTTTGCATCCCCTACTAGCGCTCTGTGTTCAAGTCTTAACCAGGGGAAGGAGAGGTGACCTGTGAGGTCTTCCGAAGGTCATTGCTCTGTGCAGAGTGCTTTTTTTTGCGTTATGAGGGTATTGTGTGTTTTGAATCCCAGATCAGGCTAAGAGGTGCCGGATTGACGTTGGTCGCCATGGGCTGATTTTCCAGCATCCTGGTGTAGCTCTAGGATCACCTGGCGTTCCACTCCAGCAGCTTATGCCAACTGCGCAAGGTAGGAGTGCTACTACCAGGCCGTTCTTTGTTCTTTTCGATGCTGCTGGACGTATTCCCTTCCTCAAACTAAGGAGATTTAAAAAAAAAAAAGTGAATCACGGCATCCCTCTTCTACAAACAAACTTCAAGCAGCATCAACAAACAGATCTTCAACCATCTGCTGGATTTCTTAGACGTCCAAAGGAAGTTCAGGCTTAGCTGTACCAACACCAGCTCTCTATCAGGATAAATGGGGAAGAAGACAATCCAAGTCTGAAGAAGAGTAGCCACTCATTGGGAAGATGCCATGTCTTATGATTTTCCTTTTTTGTTTCACTATTTATCACCCATCTTCTTTTCTGAAGTTTGTTCCTGTTAGTCATCTTTATTTGGACAGACCTTCCCGTACTGGATGGATTTTCATCTTATTTGGAGGTGGATCACAGAAATCGGGGAACCCTTTGGGAATGAATTCACTTTCCAATGGGTTTTGCTTGTTTTCCCATTTTATGAATCCACGTTTCATCCTTCCTTTTGGTTTCCCATTGTCATTCCTTCACAAGTCTTTTCCTATCCGATTGTCCATCTTTGCATCATCAGCAGGGATTCAAAATCATCAGTCTTAAATTCATCCTCCGTTACATCTTCAAGAATATCTTTATTTACCTCATGTTCACGTTTGGTTGATTTCCTTCCATGTTATTTCATGGCATTTTGTTCTGACTTGGCTTCTTTCCCTCAGTCTAAGTAGGAGGGGGATCATGTGGAGGAGTTGCGTTCACGGCACAGGTTTTTTGCGATTGTGGTGGCGTCTAGTCAAGGTGGTGTGTCGTGCAGGGAGGTAAGGCAGGTGCTGCTTTAGTGTGCACAGCTATGCTCAGACCTGCTGTCTGCAAGACCCCATGTCTGTCCTTTTGCTCACCTCTGTGCTTTGTCGCTATGTGAGGCATCCAGATGTCTTGGTTACAGCTAGAATTACATTGCTTCATGCATGCCAAACATTTGGTGTTTTGTGTCAGTGCTCGCTCTGTATTTGTATTTACCCTTCTCCCTGTCTCTTAATCAGAACTTCTTTTATTCTTTTCTCTTTCCTTTGTAACATCTCTATACTTCTTCTTATCTAAACCCTCTATTATTGCACGTATACTTTGATGTTTTTAACCCTCAGCATTGAAAATGCAATATTTTGGTTTTGCATTATGGTCAAAGTAGTATTTTATTTGAGAGACATGTAGAATCTCATTGATTTCCTTCCTTCTGTAATCATTTTCCTGTATGACCTTCATTAGTTTCTGCTTTTACCATTAGAAAGTAGTAAACTATTGTTTATTCATATAGTTCATCTTGTTCAAGGTTATAATGAGCTGTCATAGCTGAAACTCCAACTGTCATTTACTATTTAAAAGTACTCTCATTAATTACTCATTAGCTTCAAAATATGTAACTTTTAAAATGGGTCTCTCAAATGTATCAAGGGAAATCCACCACTTAATGGCATTAAAATATTTTTATTAAAGCAATAGCACATACATTAATTTAATCTTGAGATGACAAGATTGTCTTATTGACTTTTTGTTGTGTTGCTTGTCCTATAATTTGGTTACTATTTGTACAGGCGGGATGCCGCCTAATCCTCAAGCGATCCAGATTGCAGGACAGAAGCCGATCCAGCATCAATACGACCCATCCAAAGGACCTCCAGTGCAGAATGCAGCCAGCCTGCACACCCCTCCTCCCCAGCTGCCTGGCAGGTTGCCCCATGGTGCTCTCCCTATGGCAGGCATGTCCATGTCACTCTCTCAGCAGGCTCAGTTATTAGAGAACACAGCTCAGTCCGGTGGCCAGCTCCAGGCACAGGTGAAGTTGCAGGCAGGTGTCCTGGCAGCAGTAAACCCTCACACACAGCTCCAAGCCCAACTGCAGCAGCAGATGCAGCCGGGTCTTCATCTCCAGCTGCAGCCCCAGCAGCAACAACCCTTACTGCAGGCAGGACAGGCGGTCAGTCTACCTACAACTACACAAAAACAGTTTTCCTATATGTTTATAAATAAATAGTGATGCCTCAAATTGTCCTATTAAATATATGTTCTTCTCTCTTTGTTATAGACGGTAGCACTTGCTCGCCCTGGTGCAGAATCAAACCAGCCAGGTCAGAGGATTATGACCAACTCGATATCCATGGCATCCGTGTCTCCTGCTCCCCTTTCCGCTCCCAACTCTGTTCCAACACCCCATACTGCAAGTCCGCTGCGCCCTTATGGCTCTAACATCAACCCGAGCACCCAGTCCAAACTTACTGGAACCAATGGCATTTCGGCTGTCAAAATTGGTGGCTTTGGTCAAAGTGCGACCATGCAGTCCTCACAGGAGGGTTCTCAAGATAAGCAAGTTGAGCAGGCCAAACTGGTGAGTTTGCCAAGTCATTTGTTGATTGAAAAGATGCTTTAATGTCTTAAATACATTTGTACCAGGGTTTCCGTTAGGATTTTTTCTTGCCGAAATGTCCGAAAAGAATTTATTTTACCGGACAAATTTGAAACTTACCGGTCATGTTTCAATAATAATAATTGTGTAGCAGAGTTTCCGTTAGCAGGTAATTACCGGACTATGACTGGATATGCTGATGTTTAAAACTCAGATAATGGAGCTCATTTTTTTATATTGCTTCAGTTTATAATCGTAACAGATCGAAAAGTTCAGATTCATTTTTCAATAAATGATTCCACAAACAACAAACAACATAATTATTACATTCAAACAAACTACTTGTAGTAGATATAGATAATTTACCGGTTTTTAATACATTTTACCAGCTAAAAACCCGTAATTACCGCCTAACGGAAACCCTGATTTGTACATGAGTTGTCTTTGCCCCTTGACTACTGTCTGGCGTCTGCACTCTTTCTATATCAAAGCCAAGATGTATACTTTTAACTTGCTCATGGTTACTTTATTATCATTTTTTCAGAATTATTGACAAGTTATGGAAAATGCCCATGATGATTGTTGTTGTTTTTCTGTTCTATTTTTTGCCCTGTTTTGCTTATGTCACATGCTGTTTCTATTTCCCAGGAGAGTCAAGTGCATCAGCGCATCTCTGATCTAAGGAAGGAGGGCCAGTGGTCCGCCAGTAGACTGCCCAAGCTGATGGAAGCCTCCCGTCCAAAGTCCCACTGGGACTACCTCCTGGAGGAGATGCAGTGGATGGCCGCTGACTTTGCCCAGGAGAGGAGATGGAAAGAGGCTGCTGCTAAGAAGGTAAGGCAGGGAATAAATCACAGAGAGATATTTGAAATTACACATCAGCAAAACAAATAGAGGAGTCACTGCTGAAACTGATGTCTTGTTGAAACTGTCTCCACTACAGCTTGTTCGCACGTGTGCCCGTCACCATCAAGAGCAGAAGAAGAGTGAAGAGAGGTTGAAGAAAGAAAGGGAAGTTCATCTTCGTCACATTGCCAGCACGATTGCCCGTGAGGTGGAATTCTTCTGGGCGAACATCGAGCAGGCATGTTTATTTATTATTCCGTTTTTCCAATTTTTTTCAAATGCTGTCATTAATAATAAATACAGCAGCGTTTTTACCAATCCCAATTATGTATTTCTTTCTGTCAGGTTGTGGAAATTAAACTCCAGTTTGAAATTTACGAGAAGAAACTAAAAGCTCTCAGCTTACAAAAAGCATCAGCCAAAGGTAAGTCCTGCAAAGCAACGACCACAAATATAATGCAATATGTTTTCTATCTATCATGAGCTTTTACTATCCATCTATTCGTTCATTTTTCAAGAAAAACTGTGACGATAGATATATTCTTTTAATAACCCGATTTCTTTTTCACTATTTTGTGTTACAGTACCGGGTCAGTCAACAGGAGTGAAAGCTGGAAAAGAGGTATGTGCTGAACACTTGAATGCATACCAATGCATATGCACCTACTCTACACTTATGATTTCTAAAACCATCCTTTCTTGTTATAGGAGGCGACGACTTCAGCTAAAAAAAGGAAAGCAAGTTCGTCCTTGGTTGATGAAAACGGTATGTGTCAAACTATCGAGGCCCCTCAAAATATAATAACAACATGGACGTTTAAAGAGTGCCCTTATTTATTGCTTGTCCTTTCTTTTAGTCCCAGATGAAGAGAGCACGATAGAGGAACAGGAGGCTATGGAGGGGGAAGCAGACCACAAAGCAGAGTTGGTTGAGCTGGCCAAAAATGGTACTTATTACTTAACTTCTCTGTCTATGCATAGAGGGGTAGAACTAAGGAGGAGAAATGGGTTTACTCCCAAATCCCATTTTTACGATATTCTCTCTTGCACAACATTGCTCAAATGTTTCTTTATTTTTCTTTTAGCTGAGATGCCTCTTGATGCTTTGAAGAAGCAGTATGCCGGCGCCTACGTTGAAGGCTTTGAGTGGCCTCAGCCTAGTCCTCACAGTGATGAGGAGGAAATGGAAGAGACTGAAGGTGCCTTTATTTATTTGACAGGGTTCTTATGGTCATTAAAAACCTGGAAAAGTCATGGAAATTCAAAATGCTAATTCCAGGCCCTGGAAAAGTTATGGAAAACAATATTTTTCCCAAAGTTTTGGTAAAGTCATTTAACTAAAGTTGCATCAAATATAATTGATATTTTATCTAATCGCCAAAATAGTAATACTATAATGATAATAAATACTGTATGGTATAGTAATGAAAGGTAAAATGGCATTTAACTGACGAGGTGTTTTGCTGGTGAGAGATGTTAGTTGCTTTAGCCTGTAGAAGCTAGTAAGCCTACTATTTGATTTGTTTTAGATAGGCACAACATGTTTCAGACCTTATTTTCCTGTTCCATGTTAAAATAAACCATTTTCAGTGGTACCGCTGAGAAAGTAATTTTTTTGGTCGTGGAAAATTAGGTAAAGGTCATGGAGAAGTCATGGAAAATCATTGGTGAAAAAGTGTATGAACCCTGATTTGAGAAATAAAAAGGCATTGTCATCCTTATACCCATTTTAGCTGGCAGTTGAGAAGGATGTGATGTGTTAAAGTTGATATTCTTTATCTTCCAGAAAAAGCGTGTCCTTTGGGCAGTCCACCTGAGGCAGTGTTGATCGACTCACTGCTTAATGTGGAGCAGTACCGAGGAGCTGATAAGGCCTCTGACTCTGAGAGGAAGCCCGCCAGAGACATAGCTGAAGTGGCTGCTGCCACAGAGCTCATCCTGCCCAAGGGCAGCTTCAGGACCACTTCCACAGTAAGTCACACACACATGCACAAACACACCATAGAAAAATATGTCCTTTACTTTTTTAACTGTTCTTTATTTGACCAGACCCGCAGCCCAGCTCCTTTACTACTGCATGGGTCGCTGCGAGAGTATCAGCAGATTGGTGTGGACTGGCTGGTAAACCTTCACAAGAAAAACCTCAATGGCATCCTTGCAGATGAGACGGGCCTCGGCAAGACCGTACAGACGGTGGCTTACATGGCTCAGTTAGCTGGCCAAGAAGGTATGCCTCTCTTTAAAGATATACAGCATTTTTCAAGTGATTTCAGTTTTATGTTGTCGTTTTTTTTTAAAGGGAATGTCATAAAGACGTGGTTCGTTTTTTGTCCACAGGCATCTGGGGTCCCCACCTTATTGTAGTAAGGACATGCAAGTTGTTAAATTGGGAGGTGGAGTTCAAGCGCTGGTGTCCTGGCCTGAAGATCCTCCTGTACCTCGGCAACAGAAGAGAGCGCAGAAACCAGAGAATGGTAGCTTTGCTTTACTCCATATAAAAGGCCTTTTTCTTCTCAATAAACAGCTGTAAATGTGATAACTTATCATCTGATCCCTCTACAGTGGTGGGGGGAGGCCAACAGCTTCCATGTATGCGTGACATCCTACAAACTGCTGATGAAAGACCAGAGCCATTTTCTGAGGAGAAAGTGGAGGCACCTGGTCCTGGACGAGGTGCAGCTGATCAAAAGCATGACGGAGAAACACTGGGAAACTATCTTTGCTCTCCGAAGGTAAGCAGGGGGATAACCATGATATCAATTCCAGTTTCTCAAGAACTATGATTATCATTGTTGTGGTCCATGTAGGGCTGTGCGATGATGGCAAAAATCATAATCACGATTATTTTTGGTCAATAATTGATATCACGATTATTAAATACGATTATTCATTGACTTTGAAAACGTCCATTTATTGAACTTTAAAACAAATAATAATTTGAACAGTATCTTTTTAACTGTTGATTACCCTGAACGTATAATTCAACTGAAAAACCAATACTAAAATAAATGATTATTTAAATAAATAATATCAAAATAATAAATACCAATAAACAAGATCAACAAATATTTTGGAGCGCACTTCAACAAGCGACTAAACATATATTAATATGATAAATAAAAATAAATTAGACCAAAATAAATTAGATCAAATATGTCACAACCTAGCAAAGCAAAATAATTGTTCGATTATATTGTTTTCGTAATTGTGGCAGGCCAAAATCGTAATTGCGATTAATTGCACAGTCCATGTACATTTTTGAAAGTCGTTTCCGAAAATGAGCTCACTGAGGAGTTTATTTCCTTGTGTAATATTACTTATATTATTCTGCCAGAAGCCCAGTTGACTAAACAAGACTTTGTATTTTGCAGTGAGCAGAGGGTTCTCCTCATCAACACTCCTCTCCAGAATACTCTAAAGGAGCTGTGGACCATGATCCACTTCCTTTTGCCAGGAATCACCAGGTCCTACTCTGACTTCCCTGTTAAGGCAGGCACAGACCAGAACCAGGACTACTGCCACAAGCTGGTCATCCGCCTGCACAGGGTGGGTGTAGCCGCTTGTTACAGCCCGGCTCATTGAGGGTCGTAACAACCTGCACCATGCCACGAAATTCAGAACCATGATTGATTTAGCCTCGGCATCAATCCCTGCTCATCACATACCATCTCCTTACCATTATCTGTAGATGATCCAGCCCTTCATCCTCCGGCGCTCCAAAAGAGACGTGGAGAAGCAGCTGCCTAAGAAGTACGAGCATATCCTGAAGTGCCGTCTCTCCACCAGACAGAAGAACCTTTACGAGGATATCCTCACGCAACCGGGGTGAGTAACAAATGCCTAAACACTTAATACATCATCTTTAATAGTACATTGTGTTGAGATGAATTTGCTTTGGGATATTTGTTTCTCCCTTTATTCTGTGGAACTCTTTATAATCACATTTTCTGTCTGGATGTGCTTCCCCTAGAGCTCAGGAGGCTCTGAAGACGGGTCATTTTGTCAGCGTGCTTCAGGTCTTGATGCAGTTACAGCGAGTGTGTAACCACCCCGAGCTGGTGGCTCCCAGGGAGACCAGCAGCTCCTACTTCTGCTCCTCTCTGCAATACAACGCCCCATCACTGGTGCTGGGAGCTATCAGGAACGACTCGAGCAAGGTATACACTTTTCTATATCATATATATGTTTATAATAGAATAGGATAAATGTGTTTAAAACCTAATTGGCAGGAGTCATTGTTAAAAAAGTAGACAACATTTGCGTGGGGTTGAAACGTAAAGATTTTCTTGCCTTATACGTTTGATTACATTATGAAAGAGATACCGTGGTTATTTTGCATTCTTGGCAGACAAAATTAGCTGTATCAGGAAATTACTTGTGGTTCTTCAAAGTATCGGAACGCTAATTCTATTGAAATAAAGTTTCTTTATAACTCAATAAATCATAACAGTAATCATTGCTTTCTTACTATTTGAATACACTGGCCTTTTATTTGTATTATTTATATTCTTCTATTTGTTTGCATGTCCATTAGAGACCTTGCCATTTAGTTGTTTTTAACATTACATTATTTATTTATTTCAGTTTTGAACCTTGAGTATATGTTGGATTTTTTTTATTAAAATGCGCCTTTTAGTAAAAGAAAGAGTATTCATAAACAATGTTCATTGACCCACTTGTGCTTTTTGTCTTTTATCTCATTATCTTCTTAGATTTCAAGCATGTCCATATTTGATCTGATCAATAATGAGAACCGACTGACCCGGTATCAGACTGAAGAGGCAGTTCCCAAACTGAAGATCACTAAGCAGCTCATCGAGGAGATCAACACTGCTCCAGAACCATCGCCACGACCAAAGCCATGTCCGATAAAACCCACGAGGTCAGCACTTAAGTCTTTTAATATCCACGTAACTTCACATGCTTGATGTGGAGATGTTTTTCAAATTGCTCTGACATGTCAACCTAATATTGATATTGTGGCATTAAAGCTTATTAATAGCCTTATTTCTTTCTGATTAGATTGTTCCAGCAAGTGCAGTATGGGACAAAGCCAGAAGGCCGCCTCGCTGCCGTCTCTGCTGTGGCAGGCCAGCGTCCTCCAACCAGCTCTCCCACTACTAGCACCTCTGTTTCCACCAACCAGTCAGCCCAGAACAGGGGCAAGTCCCCCGTCACCGCGGCAACTACCACAGCCACTACTCACGGTAATAACTTAGTTTTTACAATAAGTAAAAGATTTCATATTTACTAATCGAACATCAAAATTGAAAAGACAAAATGAACCACCCATAGTTGTTTTGCTGGAGCCACTTGTGTGTGATGTAGTTTAAGGGCTTAATCTTTATCACTAAGTGCAAACATCCCAGGTATATACAGAATGAAAAGAAACGTGTTATACTTGTGTTGCATACTGCTATATGCTGCATGATTGCGACACTGTTTTGCATTGAAATGAACCTGATTTTCTGTATTTAAGCTTTCCCCATCTGTCATATATTGTCATCATTAGTGCTTACAGCACATTTTTTTAAATCATGTAGCGTTGGCAGATATTTAGGCACATTGTGGCAGATTTTAAATGTAACCTTCTTCTCATATAACTTTAAGGAAATGTTTGGGACACACTCCCTGTAAAGTTCTATAGTCGCAGATGTTTCATATGTTTAGATTTATACTTCCATACAGCAGTGGTGGGCTGGCCTCATTGTTTTGGCACTGTCAGGATATTATGAAAGAAGAAACAGTCATAGTAAACTTTTCAGATGAAGAGTAGCAGTAGAAAACCACTTACTGCAGTTAAGGAGACGCTTGGCTGCAACTGAATACACGCACACTGATGGAGCTGATATTTTACATATACACAATTATTGTCACACCTACTTATTAAATAATCAAGAAATAGATTTGATGTCCGTTCATAAGAAATAATGTCTCTAATCCTGCTTGCTGTGTTGGCCCGCTACTGCTGAGTGATTCATGTGGAGGGCATTGTTTGATCATAATAATGACATGACTAAATATTGAGTTACACCTAACATGTAGTCCCATACCCCATTGCCTTGTGCTTCACAGCGGTTGGAACAGCTTCTCAGAGAGCGCAGACCGCCCCTCCTGTCAGCAGCAGCACTGCAGCCTCCTCTGGGAACGCTGGCATTGGGAAGCATGTGTTGGGGGGGGGCTCTGTGGCCTTGGGCCAGACCTTAACTCCCATCAGCCAGCCTGCATTAGCACAGGTCCCCAGGCCAGCGCTAGCCCCCAGCCATGCCATCCAGCCCAGCTTACTGTCCCAGAGGCTGGTTCTTACATCTCAGGCCCAGGCACGGTTGCCTAGTAAGTGGCCTCCCCCCCCCCCCCTTTCCTCCCCTTGGGCACAACCGTATGGGGCTGTTCTACACTGAGGCATTTACTTGGGGCACTGCTGATATGTGTTCAAGCTTCAATACTCCAGAGAATTGTGTTTCTGTGCATTTAATCAAACTTGCAATGGTAGCAGCACCCGTGGTTACGCGATTTTGGTCATGGCAGAGATGCCCTGTAGCATTAGTTATACAACTTGTGAAAAAAAAAAGGTTCCCATGAGATTTGATCTGTAACCATATCAGCAGCATCTCCACAGCCTCACGTTCTCCAACTTCTTTCTTAAAACCTGCATGAACACTATGTACGACCCACTTATTTATACCACCATCACTACACTATTGACCTTAATTATTATGTGTTTCCTCCTTCTTTTTAATATTTTTTTTATTCCAGTTACTAATTTTCTTTTGTCTTTTGCATCAGCCCAGCTGCAGGAGAGAATCCCAAAGCTTTGTTTGTTGTATTTTTTTCTTTGCTCATGTTATGATTTCACTCTGATGTTGAGCGTACCTGCAAAGCACGTGGAAGCGGCTCCACAAACTGCCAACCCTTTCTGCCTCAGATGAGAACAGAGATACCTTTTCATTAACAACAGACCCCTTTACATTTAATTAAAATGTTTTTTTCTTTCGTAAAAAAAAAATCGAACTTGTTGTATGTTGCAACGAAGATTTCTGCACCCTTCGAATAGGATTCTTAACACTTAATTAACACCGTTTTTATTATCATTTTAGCCCAATTAGCGACATTTTCAAAATATGTTGTTACTTTACCGGGTGTATTGTCACTGCATTAACAATGCACAATGTGTTGCAATCACTATTATTTGTCAAAAATATTTCCTCTGATAGCTACTGGAATGTTATTAATTGAAATTGATCTTCAAAAACAAATAATTCTTAAAAGTACTATTACACACTAAATACTGTAGAAAGCACCTTTTATTATATGACATATGTCTTAAAATCTGGTGGCTCTGTACTTTTAAAACACACACTCATCCTGTTAGACCTGAGACTAAAGCCTAATGCAAACCTTTTTGGCCTGAGGAAGCAATTCCTTTCTATAATTCCCAAACTACTAATTTCCTAATTTAGGTCCAGAGTGCATTGTTTAGTCAGAAATGGCAAAAAATGGTTACACCATTGTTTCAAAATTATGATTGATTAATGAGGGGTGTTCAGATACCTTTTATTTACAGGTTATCATTGTTGGACAATCCCGAAGTATGTATGTGTATGTTTCAGGCTCTCTGTCTCACCTGAGGACTTCCCTTACAGCCATTTTCTTTCCCCTTCAGGGTTTATAAAGTAGGAGCTGCTGTGGTTCTGTTGTGGAGGGCGGCTGTGCTCGTTCCTCTGATTAATCCACCCTGGTTCTGCATGTCTTGTCTCTTTTCACCCTTTAACTAACTGATGCAGAGCGTATTGTTGGGTGACTATTTCAGCTGACTTTTTAATGCTCTCTTTGATAAAGGGTCTGTTATTGCTTTCCATTGAAGGTGGAGATGTGGTGAAGATTGCCCAGTTGGCCAACATAGCAGGCAATCAGAATCGTATCTCTCAGCCAGAGACTCCTGTCACGCTGCAGTTTCAGGGAAACAAGTTCACTCTGTCGCCCAGCCAGCTGCGCCAGCTCACCACCGGACAGCCCCTGCAGCTCCAAGGTACACTCGGTAATGTACATCCCATCGTCACACTTTTATCTCTACACAATTCTCTCCTTTGTGCCAATAAACTAGACTTTTATATTGAATTATGGACTCTTATCCTACTTCCTCATGGCATACAAAGTGGCCTAAGGTTTATGATTTATAATTGCAGATTTCTGCTTTATTTCTGGCGGGGGAACTTTTTTGTCGTCAGTAAAGGTTAATTTTCAATACAAATGATTCTGCAATTAAAAATATCTTGAATACATTTAAAGATAAGCATGTTGTCTTAAAATCCAAACGGATTTAAGCCTTTTTTTTTGTTTACTATAGCATTTCAGCTCTGTAAGTCGCCTCTAGTATGCTCTCCTTTACCAATAAGGGTTTGTATAAGGGCGCCCTCTTTAAATTGACATCGTTAGGTATCCATTTAGGTAGAAGACCACAGAAGCACTGCTGTTATTCCCCCAGATTCCACTTTTCTTTTTATTAGTAATAATAAATGTTTTTTTACAATACATAAAAAAATCATGTTGACAAGGGGAAGACTTCATGTGATTTCAATTGGACTCTGTGTCACTAGTTGTATTGATGTTGCTGTTTCCTTGATGTAATGTTGTTTCTGCCTTCAATTCCGATAGCATAACAGTTGTTTTAGTTTTTCCTTTTTTTAACCTTCAATTTTTGTCAAGTTTTGAGGAGGCACTTTTTATATTTTTTGCTTCATTTGTTTCACGCTTTTAGGCAACATCCTGCAGATTGTGTCCGCTCCAGGGCAGCAGATCATCAGGCCCCAGGGATCCATGGTCATGCAAACAATGCAACAAACTGTCCCCGCCTCCAACGCCTCAGTTACACCTGGCACGCCTCATCCTGCGCTGTCAACAGCCCAGCAAGGTGACTCAATCACAGTGAACATTATTCTCTAACACAGTCTTTCTCGATCAGTTATTTCGTAACATCAGCTAGTACCAATATATGCTAAAAGTGAATACATTTTAGTGCTACCTAACATGCTACTTTGTCCCCACAATTACACTTTTTCCTGTACAATAGTTTCAACAATGGCATTTACAATAGCATTTCCTTTGAAAAACTATTATTTTATTGACGTTGTATATTTATTTTTATGAATTAGGCGTAACTTCGAACGCCACGTCGTCACCTACCAAGCTCACAGCTGCATCTCATGCTGGTTCCCAGGTCAGTACAACACTTTCAAGGACATGTTTGTAATGCCTGTTTTCACCTTTTTTAATAATCTGAAGTAAAAGCATTTTGCAGCATGCAGACTAAATTGATGAAGGAAAATGTAATTGTAGCTGTGTGTATTTATTCTCACTGCGATGTTCAGGAGTCTTCAGAAGAAAAGACTCAGCAGCTGAAGGAGCGTTTGAGCCGCCTGTTTGAGGCGAACGAGCGGCGCTGCAGCCGCAGAGTGGTGTACGGGTCAGACCTGCTGCAGGCCTGCACTTTAACCACAGAGCCAAGTCACTCCGCCCTGACGGCTGGGGGCTGGAGGTGGGTGGGCCGAGAGAGCTGCCTCAGGGCTCAGAGAACCTGCGTAGCTACTACCGCTGCCCTGCAGTCCGCTCTGCTCACTGTGGAGGATCGCCTGCAGGCGGCCAACAGCCTCATCAAGAGGTACCCAAGCTTTCTGTTCCTGTTGCTAAACCACAAACTTTACACTGCTCCTATTCCAACAACGTGATACATACACTTCCAAATTGGCCTTGGCAGATTCCGCATTGTATTAGGCTTACTTACATTCCTAAATATTAAATTGGAATCTAAAATTGGAACACTACTACTTTGAAATAAATGGATCTGGGAAATTGTTGGCAATACCCAGCCCTATTAGCATTAATTTAGTTGAATAAAACAAACCCTTTTCACATGTAGTGTTAAAACATATATATTTGCAAGTGAATATCATATGTTTTTTTCTTTTTCTGAATAATAATCGGATGGACTGTTGTCATGTTTTTAGGCTGGTATGTGTGGTGCCTCCAGCTGTAGCCCCGCCCCCTCACCTGTATGCAGCCAATCCCCCGGTTCCCTACAGCCTCCAGCAGAAGTCACTTCTCCGTCGGCTACAGGAGGCCGCCGCCCCCCACAGTGTTGACATCCATCACCATGTGTCCAGGCCTCTCCTCTGTTGTGATGACCTGCTGCTAATGCAGATGGACTCTGGTAAGCCCAGGTCCTTTCTTGATATTAGTTCAACATGCTGCAAGCTGGGACTGCAGAAAGAACGACTTCAACTAAAAACATTAGTAGTGTAGTCTCTCTACCTAGCAAGTGTGAATGTCTCATCCAACATTTGCTTGTGTGCATTTACCGTGCAAAAACAGTGTTGTTGTCATCTGTCTGTTCTTCAGAACAGTAACATGAAACAAATAATGTGAAATAGGCCATTTAGTACTGCATCAATGAAAAAGATGCTGAAATCTACTGGGATTACCATCACCTGCTTATTTGCACATTATACTCTTTAAAGTTTGTTATTACTTTTTTCATTCAACTTAAATGAACATGTCGTGTTTAAAATGCAATCCGAAACATCTGACCATGCCAAGAATAATAAATCTTGATATTTTTCCTTTCCAAAGGTAAACTGGAAGCTCTTGCCATTCTGCTGCAGAAGCTTCGGTCAGAAAGCCGCCGTGTCCTCATCTTTACTCAGATGGTGAAGATGCTTGACATCCTGGAGGCCTTCCTAGATCACCGGCAGCTCACTTATGTGCGGGTCGATGAAAGCTTCAGTCCTGACGAACGACAGGTAAAATACCCCCACTTCTGACAGGCCACAATACTAATAACGAGGTGCTTAGCTTATATCAAGTCGGTTATATACATCAAAAAAGTTCTGTTTTGTTACTGGAAAAGGGTGGGTGTTATTATTCCAATTACATTGACATAGAGAGTGTTTTCAGGTTTGATACAGGTTGAGGTTTCCCCCTCATGATTCAAAAGGGATCTTAATAATGTTTATCCCTTTTCTTGCATTCATACACGTTAAGTGTTACAAAGTCATATGACAAAAAAGTTACAAGACCCAATAACTAGTTGCAACAGCAGCCTTATAACATTTTAATAAGCTGTGGGTCATTTAAATGTTTACAATAAGAATTTCGATAATCTATAGGGTTGGTACGTTTCAAATCTAAGGTGTCTGCCGGGTTTGTTCACATGCGTGGTTTTGTGTCCCTGCAGGAGAACATAAGGAAGTTTAACCGGAACAGGAACGTGTTCTGCAGCATCCTGACAAACCGCTGCTGCTCTGCTGTCGGGACTTTGTTTGATGCAGACACCATCATCTTCTACGACACAGATCTCAATCCCAGCATGGATGCCCGCGCCCAGGAGTGGTGTGACAAAATAGGACGTTCAAAGGATATACACATTTACAGGTGACATCATCAACACTGCAAATTCAGTTTGACTTCCTCTATATTGACATTTTACTAGGGCTGTGCAATTAATCGCAATTACGATTTTGGCCTGCCACAATTACGAAAACAACATAATCGAAAAAAACAATTATTTTGCTTTGCTAGGTTGTGACAGTGCACTGCAACATATTTGATCTCATTTATTTTGGTCTAATTTATTTTTATTTATCATATTAATATATGTTTAGTAGCTTGTTGAAGTGCGCTCCAAAGTATTTGTTGATCTTGTTTATTGGTATTTATTATTTTTGATATTATTTATTTAAATGTAAATATAAATGTATCATTTATTTTAGTATTGGTTTTTCAGTTGAATTATACGTTCAGGGTAATCAACAGTTAAAAAGATACTGTTCAAATTATTATTTGTTTTAAAGTTCATTAAATGGATGTTTTCAAAGTCAATTAATAATCGTATTTAATAATCGTGATATCAATTATTGACCAAAATAATCGAGATTATGATTTTTGCCATAATTGAGCAACATTACATTTTACCTAACACATCACTCGTAAAACTCCAGATGGGAAATACCTAAATCAATATTTAAGGACTTTGTTGCTACTTCTGGTTTCTTTGTGTGTGTGTGTTGCCCAGGTTGGAGAGTGGGAACTCCATTGAAGAGAAGCTGCTGAAGAATGGCACCAAGGACCTGATCCGAGAGGTGGCTGCTCAGGGTACCGACTACACCTTGGCGTACCTCACACAAGTAAGATGAATTCAATGTGGTCTTGTCCTGAAGTTTCAGAAACTCTTCACACCTCTATTCTTTTGAAGACACATTGCTATACCTGTATAACTGACCTGACATTATTTCAGCGGACCATCCAGGATCTGTTCGAGGTGGAGGCCGGCTCAGGGGAGAAGGTGGAGGAGTTTGTGGTTCTTCACCAGGAGCCGTCGGCCTCTGAGGCCATCTCTCCCAGAGTGGCTAGACCATACATCCAGGCTCTGCACAGCATCAACCTGGATGCCCTGCCGGAGGAGGAGGAGCAGCAGCATGAGGAAGAGTTAGCAGGCAAAGAGTCAAAGGACAACCAGGAGGAGGAGAGCAAAACTGACGAGGAGCCCGCTCAGCAAGAGGAGCTGAATGCAGTCATACAACAGGTACCTTCACTTTTTTACATATCGCTTGGAATCTAGTTGAAACGGAAAAGTCCAAATACAAGAAATGAGTCGATACAAAATGAAATTCTGTTTGATTGTCTTGCTGAGTTTTGATGTGTATTTTCTTCCCTTAAACAGCTCACACCAATCGAAAGATATGCCCTGCATTACCTGGAGTACCTGCATGTCAGTGATGACCAAACTGCTCTCAAGGTAACTTACACTGACATGTTACCAAAAACCTTTTTAATGATATAGAGGCATTTACTATAGTATTTACATGCGTGTAAATCAGTCCATTTGTCATCTAATCCTGCTCTACTGCGTTGGTATTCAAATGTTATTATTTGTCTTTTGATACATTTGCCTGGTGTTTCTTTCCCTCAGGAGAGGCTGGAGTGCTCCAAGAGAGGCTGGGAGCTGCAGCAGCTCCAGAAGCTGAAGGAGGAGGAGGAAGAGCGGCACTTCATGGAGGGAGATGAAGATCTCTTCACCTACACAAGAGAGGATGCCTACAACATGGTGGGTGGCCATTGTGATCTCAACTAATCAAACATGAAGAGCTGTGTGGATTGTTATGCACTGTTGTTGCAGGGTGTCCGCGGGGTTTTAAAAAGTGTTAAAAGTTGATAAATCAATTTAGCGAAAATTAAGGCTATTAAAAAGTATTAAACGGCATTTTCCAAGGTATTACATTTTGTAGCTTGTTTTCAATAAGTATATACATTGTCCAAAGAGGTTGTATTCTAAAGTTCGCCTGAATGTAATCATTGCGTAGGTGTGTAGTGTGATTCTGTGTAGTTTATTTATGGCATCCCGTTGGATTTGACGCCATCTGAACAGGACATCGCACGCTCACTGCTTGATAGCGCGCGAAGGTCCGTTTACGCCGGTTGTTAAACAACATCGTTATGGGGAAATGCAAGTTTGCGTCCAAATGGTTGGAAGATAAGGAGGAAGGACAATCAATACTATATATAGTAAATGTGTCGCCAATGTAACCGGTTAAAACTCGAAGTGGCGATGAGGTCTTAAAATGTATGGAAAGGGTCTTAAAAGAGGTCTTAAAAGGTATTACATTTGACTTCAGGATTCCTGCATATACCCTGTGTTGACATGAACCTTTTCTCTGCTCTTCAACAGGAGTATGTGTTTGATGCAGAGGACGGCCATACAGAAATCATGCCGGTAAGACATAAACTGTGAAAACAGGGCAATTTTTTTTTTTACAGAAGTCCTTGTATTATCTAAATGTGGATCTTCACTATTCTCTTCCTAATTTTGTTTATTTGTATTGACCCATTAAAAAGTCCCACTCTGTCTTCTGCCTTTGTGCTGACTTGTGATTTTCCAACACAGCTTTGGACTCCACCCACACCACCGTCGGATGACAATGACATTTACATCGACTCTGTGATGATGCTGATGTATGACACTGCACCCATGCCGGAGTCCAAGCTGCCTCCTGTCTACGTCCGCAAGGAGCACAAGAGACTCAAGATGGACCCCTCAGGTGAGATGACATTTATATTTAAGGTGAAATAGTTCTAAACGACTTGGATACATCTGTAGTGTCACTGCAGGTTTCTCTGTCCTGACTCGATGTGTTTGTCCAGCAGCAGCCAGAAAGAAGAAGAAGGGCCACGGGGAGACGGTCATCCCCCCTCGCTCGCTTTTCGAGAAGGCCAGCATGCTGAAAGTTCGCCGCGAGGGCAAAGACCAGAAAAAGAACTTCTCTCTCAAGCAGCAGGCTCCCTTTGCCAAGCCCCTGCCCTCGCTGGTTAAACCTGTCATGGAGGCGGGTCAGGACAACCCGGAGTGGCTCATCAGTGAGGACTGGGCTCTGCTTCAGGTACTGGCGCCTCTCACCACTACTCAAATGAATATATCTGGAATTGCACTTCACTTCAAAGAGGTTAAATTATATGTTAATTCAATTTCCAAATGCCATTGCTGTGTGTCTTGACAGGCTGTAAAGCAGCTTCTGGAGTTGCCTCTGAACCTGACAATCGTGTCTCCTGCACACACTCCTAACTGGGACCTGGTGAGCGATGTAGTTAACTCCTGCAGCCGCATCTACCGCTCGCCCAAACAGTGTCGCAACCGCTACGAGAACGTCATCATTCCCAGAGAAGAGGGCAAGGTAATGGAGAGGGCAGCCACCCTATTTTGCTGTAAAACTCAATTCCTCACCGTGTTCTTGTCTAAATAATGTCTCTAACTATTTTTCAGTTGGTGTATGAGGCAAACCCCAAGAAAAAAACCAAGAGCATATACAAGGTACCCTATTCTGGCATTTTGATCAATTCTGCTTTGCTCCTGAAATTCTTGATTAACTTTGGTTCTGTGTTTTCTTTGCTCAGTCTAAGAACAGCCGCCCTCTGAGGACCTGTCAGATCTACACACAGGATGACAACGCCACTCACATTCAGCTCTACAACAGCCGCTTTGAACTCATGAAGATCATCGCCAGCAAGAGGAGCCCACCAATCAAACCACTGTAAGGGCTGATGAAGTGAATGTAAAGTCTCATAACGGAGCTCACACCAAAACGTGTGACATGTAACCAGGCTGTTATTGTTCAGATTGGATATGTCCTTTTCATCTGTATTCATTTAATTGATTCTGCTTACAGGCTTGGCATGAATCCATTCCAGAAAAATCCCAAACATGCCTCTGTTTTGGCAGAAAGGTTTGTTTAATATTTGTACCATAAACATCTAAGATATTAATCTATAAATAAAGATGAAAGTATAACATTGTTTTTCTTCTCTTCAGTGGGATCAGCTATGACAAGCCCCTCCCTCCCATTCAGGTGGCTTCTCAACGTGCTGAACGGATCGCCAAGGAGAAAAAGGTGATTGTTGGCAATGAATATGTCCACAAATGGCCATAGATCCAAATAGTGCTTGATATGTACTGAACGATGTGTTTGCATTTGTGTTTGATTTTGTGGTGGTGTGTGTTTGCAGGCCCTTGCAGAGCAGCAGAAGGCTCAGCAGTTGGCCCAGCAGCAGCAGGCAGGGGCCCCCGGGGCCCAGGTGGCCCCTGGCCAGGCGCTGACTCCTGCTGCCGGCCAGGCTCTGGTCCCTCAGGCTGCCACAGTGCCCGGAGCTGCTGCGGTGCCTAATGCAGCTGTTCTGGTGAGAATCCAAACATGCTCAAATCAATATTTTTCTATGTATAGTGAGATCCAAAACAAGATGTTCTTAAACATTTGGTTCATGTTTTTCAGGCTGGAGCCATAAAGAATGCCACTGTGGGCACCACCATCCAGGCTGGTACGCTTACACACATATGGTTCATTTTACAGAGCTGTTGCTGTTCCAATAGTTTATTCATTGCTCTTTGTTTCTTCCAGCCACTGTAGGGGGGAATGTGATTGTGAACACAGTAGCTGGAGTTCCCCCAAGTCCTTTCCAGGCCAACAAACGGCTGGCATCTCCCGTCATAACAGGCACCCTCTCTGTGAGTCATGCTCTCATATCACTGCTACTCTGGCTTAACTCAGCCTCCTACTGATTTACAGTAATTCATGACGCATTAGACCGGCACCCTGCAGACTGAATGTTCATTACAAGTGTTGGAGCCTTTGCACATTGGGTTTATTTTGTTGTTGTTTGTGCAGCCTGCTGGTGCCGCTGGAGCCCAGGTGGTCCACGCTCAACAGAGAACCGTCACCGCTGCTGCAGCCCCTGCAGAGGTGGTTGCCATAGCTACAGGTGTTCGAGCTGTTACCCCAGTTACGGCATCAGCAGTAGTTACGACCACTCTGAGTCCGGTGCAGTCTCAGACGCGCCCTCTGGTCACTCAGGTCACACAAGGTACCAGATCAAAGGCTTTTCTCTGATAAGACCAGCACCTGCTGCTCTTTTAAATCTGACAGATCTGACTTATCTGCTCTCCTTCATCCAGCCGCAGGGATGCAGTTGCAACAAGGGAAGCCTCTCACTCCAGCCCACCTGCAGATGCTCCGACAGCAACAGCTGCAGCAGCACCAACAGCAGCAGGCTGCTTCCCCACAGATCAAAGCTGTAGGCAAACCCCAGGTACCAGCATCTTTACACAAGATGCATAAAATGTGACTTTTTAACACATCTCGCATATGAGCTGCACTAATAGAAATGTTCTTTATCAGTATGATGGCATTAATGGTAGTACTTCCGATTTACTCAATAAACAATGCAATTACACGGCACAAGGGTGTGTACAGCTAACTGACATTTACTCTGTGATCTGTGTGTTTACAGGAGTTGTTGAAGATGCACAAGCATAAGTTGCAGCTGCAGCAGCAGCAGCAACAGGTAGCTGCAGCTGTAGCAGCAGCGCAGGGCCAACAGGCTGCAGGGGCCCAGCAGGCCCCCCAGGGTCAGACTGCACAGACCACACAGGCCAATCCCCAGCTGGCAGCAGTGGCAGCCCCCAGACCTGGAGCCGTGCTGACCGGTGCCACGGTGGCCAACCTGCAGGTGGCCAGGATGGTAAGATGGTGCAGATTGATGTGGGAGACAATAAAAGATTTCTTGCATCAAGTTCCCCACAATATGATTTAAAAGACCAGCTGTCTGTAGGTAGATTGTAAGATTATGAATAATATAATCTAGACCAGGGATGGGCAACTTGGATGGTGGTGGGGGCCACATAATTTATGTACTGGCCACCAGGGGGTCGCAGATTCACTTGGAACACACACACACAAATTCCATGTATTGTATGTAATTATTAACAAATATACTAAGTCTGACATCTTCATTGACATTTTATAATCTTTCAGGGAACATCCTCTAATAAGCTCACTAAACAAATATCAGTTCACAGAAATGTTATTTAATTTTTACAAGTGGCATGTTTGTATTGAACAGGTTATTTAACAGTGGAATAAAACTATTTTTAAACTATTGGTTAGCACGGAAAATGTGTGTGCATCAAGATGAACCATTAAGATGACATAAACATGAAGTCATGAACACTAACCCAGACGTTAGTTGTCTAACTTGAACCTAGCTAAGACACTTGTAGCCTGTCTCTGCATTCCCCTTATTCCACAACAAGGGGAATGTCAACACAGACACCTGTCAACACGCACTCTGCTGTTCCTCAGCGCCGCTCCCCCTCCCTCCCGCTGAAATTATGAATGAAAAGCGTATAGTAATCATAGATAACACGGCAGGGTCTGTGACAGTTTGTTTTCATCTGATTTCAAATAAACTAAGTCTTGGTTTTTAGAATATTAAACTTGTTTCGCCAAATTCAGATGATAAATACAACTTTAAGCTTGTAAAGGTATAATTACAAGCGGTAACTTAACGTCACAGCAGGCATAACATCAGCCGGTGTTTCTTGTGAGTGTTTCCCCGGGAAACAAACACAATACACACAAACGCGTCACAGATTCTTTCGCTGTATTTGGCTGCCGAACAAAATCATGTACGCAGCTCGTGACGTAACTAGGAGTCTAGTGGACGGTATCAGTACTACAAGTTAAAAAAAAATGTTATTAAATTAATTACGTTGTTTATAAATTCATCTGAGGGCCGCAAAAAGAGGAGGTGGGGGCCGCAAAAAGAGGAGGTGGTCACCATGTGTCCCCGGGCCGCCATGTGCCCATCCCTGATATAGACTAAGTTGTTGTCTATGGTACAACCATTTTATCTTTTTTTGTTATTTGATTGGCCGAGGTGTAGTCCAAACAAGTTGAGATCATACAGTATGAGAAAATTCAGTGTCATTTTCCCACCAAAAACAATGTCTTCTTTCGGTTTTAATTTCTTGATGTAAGTTCTTAATCAATACTTTTTTGTTTTTTTTAGGCTCGACTGCCCACTCAGACGGCTCAGGTGACCCTCACCAAGCCCCCAGTGGTCTCTGTGCCAGCGGTGGTCTCTTCAGCTGGCGTCACTACACTGCCAGTCACTGTAGCAGGTATCAACGTGGCTATTGGCCAGGCCCAGAAAACAGGTGTGCTAAAAGTCTGATTGGATAGGGGACCTTTTGTCTATAGGCGCTTTCACACCAAGTACTTTGCCGTACTTAGTTCCCAGTACTTAGTTCATCAGAACTCTCTAGTTCTGATGAACTAGAGAGCAGATCGCGTTCACACCGGAATAAGTCCCTGAGGGAGGATTAGGCAAATGAAGCCGCTGACGTCACTGCTTCTTCTTCTGCTTTGGGTGTACTGGCAGGCCGCAAACAACTTCACGGCGTATACTGCCACCCGGAGTCCCCGGAGTTGGGGACTGGCTTCAAGCCTTCCGAGTAAATCACCAGAACGCCGACACCTCCTCATCACTCCACCGCTCCCATGTTTTTTTTTGTGTTGCCATAAGTTAGTTTCTCTCCGTTGGTGCGCTGGGCTAATGCTAATAATGCTAATGCGAGCAAATACAATGGCAAATACGGCTTCACAAAACTTTTCCGAGTTTTACTTGGTGTGGTTTGCAATCCGCCCAGCCAATCAGAAATGGGAACCTTTTTCTCCCATGAAAGTACCTGTTCTCTAGCAGGGACTAAAAAGGGGGTGAAAAGGTTCTCATGAACTAAGTTCTAGTTCCGGATTTTTTGGTGTGAACGCAACATTTCAAGAACTATCGGAACTATACTGGGAAAAGTACTCCGGTGTGAAAGCGCCTTATGACTTTGACTAGATTGTTGCTCCTTACAGTTACCGGCCACTTAACAGTTCAAAATGACTTTTTTTAAATAATGTTTTGTTTTTATTTTGATCATATATTTATTTTTGCTCAATATATGATACAACAATGATTAGAATCTGGGAAAAGAGTATTTGTTTCTGCTTGGGTTTGCATAATTTTAGTAGGACCTCTGTTCCGACAAATGTGCTGTTATCATTATCACAAATGTTTTTATTTTGTTCCTAAATGTCCAATATATCTTTCTTTCTCCTCTGTCAGGGGGGCCTGTGCTGTCGCCGTCCTTCCCCCAGATGCAGCTGCTCCAGGTAAAGCAGCAGCGGCAGCAGCAGCAGCAGCAGCAGCAGGCGGCCGCCGCAGCGCAGCAGAAGACCGGCCAGCCGCAGCTGGGACAGACCACCGTGCAGCAGAAGGTAACGCTAGAACATTTGAACTAATAGTTAAAAAAAAAACATGTATTCAGTCTGTCTACAACAGAAACAACAAATGCAGTGTATCAAAGATAAGAACAGAAATTGGTAAGAATTTTAGTTTAGGATTTAGCTTAGAAGTGTCTTAATCCCCAGCCCCTGCAGTCTATAACATTTCGAAATGTCCTGAGACATGATACTAAACCCTAAATGTGAAACAATAATCAATGGCAACTGTGTGTGTGAATGTGAGTCTCTCCTCATAAGGAGGTGCCACCTCCTTACACTATATATGAATGTATGTGAATGGGTGAATGCTGACTAAAAGACTATAAGACTATAAAAGCACTATGTCAATCCAGTCAAATTACCATTAAAGAAGTGACTGTTATTTTGTATAATTGATTGTTGTGCTTTTATTTATGTCTTAATGTTTGCATATGTATAAATGTGTCTGTTGATTGTGTATTTTATACATATTTTTATATATATTTGTATTTTTGTATTTGGGATTGTGGGAAACGGTATTTCGATCTCTCTGTCTGTACACACAAACTGAAAGATTGACAATAAAGTTGACTTTGACTTTGATGAATGTGAATGGAGTAACTGTAGTGTTATTTCCTTTAGATCGGCGGCCAGCAGGTCACAGTGCAGGCAGCCCAGCCGGCCCAGCAGTCGCAGCAGAAGGTGACGTACGCTACCACCACCCAACTGCAGTCAGGGATCAAGACCCAGTTCTTCACTACATCCATCGCCCAGGCTCAGAAACCCACCGGAGCCCAGCAGATCCAGGTACCTGATCACTGGAGCTCACTATTGAACAGTAAATATTCGCAGGTGAACAGAGGGCGTGTGTGTTGATGTGAGATGTTCTTGTTTACCTCTCTTATCAGGTGGCTAAGCTCCCACAAATAGTGCAGCAGCAACCCACCGTGGCCAATATTCAACAAATTGTGTCGTCTCCACAGCAGGTAAGGGCTTTAGGCTGAGCAGTTTAACCTCTGTTATTTATGCATCCATCTTCATTTATCAGGGACATAGCACGTTAATCACATCCTTGAATGCCTGGCTGAGGCAAGTTGGCTTCGAATGATTGTTTATTTAATCATTTTGACATTCAAACCAGGCACAATAAAAAAAAAGAACGATAATAACTAAACCACACAGGACCAAAGAAGGTGTAAGGGTCAGCCAAGGTTCCTGCCCGCTCTTTATTGGTTTTCCTTCGATCAGGCTGGACCGGATTCACCTGAGAGATAACACAAGACCTCATGAGTCAAAGTACATCATAACAAGTGTGTTAGAGGGGTATAAGAAAAACAATAAAGCTTTTACTGCAGAGAAAAGGATCACATCAAACCTCTTTTTTTACATTTGACTTGTTTATTGCTTTTCTTTACTTCCTCTTGTGGATGCAATCTCCCTTCACTGCTGTGAAACTGGACATCTTCCCGCTGTAGTACTTAATGTACTGACACACCAAACCAACATAAAAAAAACTACACTTGCCTCACATTTACTGCATCTTGGCCAACACTGCAAAGACTGCTGCCACATGTCTTGTAATGAATGCGCCTGAATAAGAGGAAATAACTCCATAACAGCAGGCAATGGAATCTGTCATTCAAGAAGGGAAACGTAGAATTCATCATTTAAATACAATGGCCATTTTCACACCATCACGCTTACTGTCATTCTAGAGGGCCATGGCTTTTTGAAAATATCCATAAGATAAGATAAGACAAAGATGTCAAATCAAAAGTGACTCGTTCTGCTCCCTCAGGACATGAATTGTTTGTTTGTTTTCCTCTCGTCCGTTTCTCTTCATGTGGGCCATTTAGCTTAAGCAGAACAGCCAATCACAGTGATTTATGTGGCCTGAAAGCTGGATGTTGGAAGCATTGTTAAATGCAAATGGAGTCCGACTCAACATAAAAACATGGCCACCAGACATTCATAGACGTCCACAATGTGACCCTCGTCCTTTAAGTGGCTTGGTGTGTTTGATCCTGTTTGAGGATTCTCTCTGATGTTCTGTTTGTTGTCGTCCCCCCCCCCCTCAGCTCCAGGCTCAGACGGTGACTCTGACCCAGGCGGCGGCGTCCTCTCCGGCCCAGGTGCAGATGATTCCTGCGGCGGCGCAGGCGGTCCAGCAGAAGCTCCTCCAGCAGCAGGTGGTGACCGCAGCCACCTCCCCCCAGATCCAGACGCCCCCCCCCCCACAGCCCCGCCCAGCAGCCTGCCGACGCCCCGGTGCAGCCCGCTCAGCCCCAACAGCCCGCCAAGGGTCAAGCTCGCCAGGGGGGCATCAGGGCCAAAACCCCCGCCAAGCCCAGCAGCTAGGAGACGCACTCTCATGAATCTGATGTGTTTTCCTGCAGTACAGATGTGAGGCGTTGTTATGGATCCCACAGCAGCTAAAGCCAGAGACAGACATCACGTTGTTAATCACACCCAACCTTTACCTCACTTCAACCATAGACTTAACTGTTCCACAGCATCATTTCAGTGTTCAGACCTCCAGGAAGATCAACCACAGCTTCTGGTGGGATCCATATAGTTGCTGAGTCAACTTTTGTTACTGCTATTCTTTATCCGTGTCATGCAATGAGGAAACGTCTTTCCCCCTCAACAACTGCCCAACACATGAAAGGACAGACACAGCAGTCCTGCCTTCAAATGATGATTATATTATTACTCAAGAGAAATCTGAGGCCGAGGCTTGTGGGTAATTCCTCGTTGATAATGAGCATTAGAATAAGTGTATTCATAAATAGTCCCTTTTATGTCTAATTCCCTTGTTGTCTATAGAAACTGAATGGAGAATAATGCACGTTCCTTTAGTCATTTGTTTTGTATTGAAGCAAATACACTGTAAACATGTACTTTAGTATGTTTGTGTTTTCTCATAAATTGTCTTTTTTTATTGATGTCAAGGAAAAAAAAAATGTAAATATCAATGAAAAACATTTGTACTTGTAAAGTAGTCGTGTTTTCATTGGGTTTTTTCAGCCTAATTGTAATAAAGTGTTTTGTTTTTATATACAAATTCATCTTTTTTCCTTTGATTTATTTTCATTAAATCCGTTGTAAGTACTTTGAAATCTTGTGGATTCTTATAACACATTCCCTGGTATGATATAGTCCCTAAAATGGTTGTTCCAAAAAATCTGGAGGATGTCATCTTATTTGATAATTGGTGCTCTATTAATAGCTATTCATTATTTTTGTATGACTAAAGGACCTGGAGGCAGGCATGTTCGGCGCAGCAGGATTCAGCTGAGCAACAAAGTGAGTCAAACGCTGCGGGACAGTAGGTTCAGCATCTTGTCCTCACACAGTCTGAGGAAAGCATTTAGAGCAGAAAGTCTCTGCACCGTCTGCTGAGCCCGGCTCGCTGCTGACTCGGCTTAAATCTCTGCTGAGTTAGTGTGAGGGCAAAGGAGCTGAGAATCCCCCAACCCTCCACTCTACACTTAATGTATCTATTAAGCCTTTATAGAGCTTTGTTTGTCACATTGAGATCAAATATCTCTTTCACCATCGTTTACTCCTAAGGGTTACACTGTGTAGAAGTCAGTTTCAGGTTGGATATTTGACAGACATTCAAACCAGTCTTCTAACACATTGGTTACCAACCTTTTTAGTCTCGTGTCCCCTTTGAGCTAGTCGCAACTCTATAAGAACCCCCTCACTCATCTGTGGTGATTCGCCTACATTTGTTCTTCTGTTAAACTCTTTGTAATCTTATCAAACCCAACTGCTCCTTCGATGAAAATCACTTGTATAGCTCACCCTTAATACAAATGTTTTTAAACTTGACATTAACACTAATTGTCAGTGAAAGAAAATAATATTTAGACTCACTTCTAGCAGTTTCAGCATCTTTTGTTAAGAGCTTTAATGAGTCACTTGAGCTTGCTTGTCTTTCATAAACTTTGATAGTTCTGTGGGCAGGACACCAGGATTATGTGGAAATATATATTGCAATCCCTAATCTTTTTACTTATCCCCTCAAGTACCCCGAGGGGTCCGCGTACATGAGCCCACATCTGAGCCCTCGTTTACCACAGCATTTCACTAATGGGCGGTCAATACAATATTATTAGAATTGCACAAAAACCAAAGGTCATTTCAAATTGTCCAGGCTAATTGCCTATATTTGAAAAAAAAGCAGAATTATTATAAATGTGTTAGCGCATTTTCTAGATGTTCTGATCTTTCTGATGCCATGTGTGACCTACTGACTCCAAATCGATGCTGCATTAGTCCACCTTCTAGTTTACATCAATATTTTCATGAAAATATGTTGTTATGGATTTTCGTGCGTTATAACAAAGTTAACTGAAGTTTATTGCAGCCTACTGGATATACGCCTTGAAAGGCAAGTAGTTATCAATTTATAAACTCAAGGAATTTAAAAGTAGATACAAAATCAATTTGTTGACCATTTATGGCAACAATTCTCTGCAACAACGCTGGTCTTACTGTTCCTGAAAGGGTAAGAAAACATGTTTCTGCATTTAAAGCACGATGCAGTTGACTAAGCCGTTCTTGTATGCCTATTCTATAAAATGCATACTGCGGGAGCTGATGTGTAGAATGGTGTCATTTGCTTCAAATGGGTGATGCAGATTATTCCACTAGGGGGCACTGTTGCATCAGCATCGCCCTGCAGCCTCTCTGAGGAAGAAGACATTACTACACTGTGGTTTCAGCTCATTGAAAGCTCCCATCTGCTCCTGAGAGCAGAGTCTTCTCTCTGGCACTCTGAGGCCGGTCCACATTCAGCCCTAAACGCCTGAGACAAGGGAGGTGAGGCGGAAGAGTGGCCGAGAGACGAGCAGATGGCAGAGATGGTTCCTCTGGCCTGGACATCACTCCAGCGTGCCCAATGTTTCTTATTTGTATTCAGAAAAATGGCCATTGTAAACAGGAGTGGTTGTTTTTTTCCTGCATGATGTGAAGGTCAGAAACAAGAGAAGCTATAACGGCCCTGAACCTTTGTAACTAACTATATATACTCAAGTACTGTACTCAAGTATAATTGAACATTCTCTGCCATTTTATACTTCTACTCCCTGTATCACACAGGGAAATATTTGCTTTTTTGAACAACTAAGGTTTCTATTTACTTTTTACATACATAACATGTTGTGTTTACATGTTATATATATATATATGTACTACTAATCTACTCGATAGTACACATAGAATGCAAAATGTGCTCTATATTGACTTATACCAAGATGGCAAAGAAAACCTCCTGTATGTATTTGTTGGCAGAGTTGGGAAGAAACTAAGTACATTAACTTAAGTGCAGTACTTAAGTACAATTTGAGATACTTTTACTTTACTTGAGTATTTCCATTTGATGCTACTTTGTTCTTCTACTCCACTACAGATCAGAAGTAATAATCTAATTATAATATATAATAATAATAAAGGTCTCCCTTGAAAAAGAGATCTATGATCTCAAGGGACAATCTGGTTAAATAAAGGTTTGAAATGAAATGAAATGAAAATAATAAATATAACAAAACATATAATATATATTATTCTTAAATGGACCAATCTGCATAATGAGTACTTTTACCTTTGGTACTTTAAGTATGTTTGATGCCAATACGTTTTGCACTTTTAATTGAGTAATATTTTTGAATGAACTTTTACTTGTAACAGAGTATTCACTCTCTGGTACTTCTACTTTTACTAAAGGATGAGATCTGAGTACTTCTCCCAACTCTGTTTGTTATTGATAAGAGCAGAATAATATAATATTAGACACTTTTAAAAGAGACTTCACAATGAGTACTTTTACTTGGATCCTTAGGTACATTTCGCAGCAAATCTACTGTATTAAACAATAACATTTCGAACTCAGTACTATAATGGGGCACTTTTAGGCGGCGGTAATACTGCTTTTACTTAAGTATAGGATCTATTTTTCCACTTCTGTCTGTACATTAAAGCTGGTGGGAGGAGCAGACCTCAGAGCAGGAGCTGCTGTGATGCGTTTCAAGAGAGCAGATGAATCACACCACTTCAATTCCTCATCTCTCTTCACACCTCTCTGTGAATGTGTGCTTCTGATGGAAAGAGCTGCAGTGAAAAACAAAAGTATGAACACTTGTGTGATCATACTCCACTTTCAATCCCACCTACCTTCTACCTTTTTATTCAAATGTCAGTTTACAGCTGATAGGGATGAGTGTGTCAGTGCACCTCTCGCACACAAGTGTAAACATGCAAACGCTTCTGCTTTCAAGCGGGGGAACAACACAAGCTCTGTGATCCAGGAACTGAGAGAGAGACGTTTACAGCTGGAAGTTCAGGGTGTAGGAAACCCCCCATGGCAGCACTTTGGAGTGCAGGCTTGTATTTTGATATCTATATTCCCATTAAAAGAGTGATGCATTATGGGGGTTGCAGGGTAACCAGAGGGAGGTAAGGACTGTCAGAGCTGATCTCATCCCTCTCCCACCATGAGTGTTTACCTCTTCAAAGCCTCTGAACAGTGTCAAATGTGCGAGTCAGGGATAAGGGCTGCTGTTTCACTGTTGTGTGTTTTCCTCCATTTGCACAGAGCCGTGAACAAGAGCCCCCCCCCCCCCCATCCAGCATGATGGGAAGCAGAGGAGCCATGTGAGTGACAGCCCGCTGGATGATACAATCATTATGTGTGTTGACAAGACAACAGGGAAGATCAGGTCAGTTTTTTCCAATAGCTTCCATGTTATGTGACCCAGTGACTGCAATTCCATACCAGATTGAATTACTACAATAGACAAATAAGACACAACTCTTTATTGGATTGGATTGCTTATTCTATTAGGAGAATACGTTTTACAGTTTTTTTTATTTCTTCCATGTCATGTGACCAGAATCAATGCAGTATTATATTACTACAGTAGACAAGTAGGTTTATTTCTTTTGTTGTATGAATGAAGATTTTATTTGTCTTAGTTTTAATAAAAAATGCAACAATTGTTTTGTGTTGTTATTCAATACTTTCAATGTCATGTGACCCAGTGACTCCAAATTGATACCCTATATTATGACGACAATGGACAAATAAGAGACACATCTTTTTATTGGATTTGATTATTTTCTTCTGTTTTATATGAATATGTTCAATAGCCTCAATGTCATATGATATAAGACTTCCAATGAATGCAGAATTGCACTGGACAAGTAAGACAAACCACTTTCTATTGGATTTAAATGCTTTTTCTATTTAATATGAATAATTTTGATTGAAAACTCTTGGATATGTTCAATAGCTTATTATGTGCTGTAACGACTTCAAAGTATGTCGAATTAAATACTTTAGCCTTCTTTTTCTGTTAATACCTTCATGAAAATATCAGTAGGCTACGAGGAGGGCTTTGTTGTTGCCTAAGAGACGAACAGGACTGAACGAAGGCAGACTCAGCACGCGTGGGGGGAAAAGCATCAGGTAGCCTACAAAGAAACCCAGCGAGGTGTTTCTTGTCAGGGCTGCAGATGAAAAAGGCCAAATCCTGCGTCTATCTCCCCTCCTCACTCTCTAATGTCCCGGCCCTGATCACTCAGCCCCGGGGGCTCCCTGCTAATGATGCTCCTCCAATGATGCTGATGATCACCGCTATTGGAAAAAGAAACAGGCCATCTATACTGAAAGGTTGTCATGGCAACCCGCTGCTGCGACCCCCTTTAGTGCAAATCACAGTGCTGGTGGGACAATGGTTTATGTAGCACACACACCGCGCCTCTGTCATGCCTCAGCTCAGTTCCTCTCCACATGAATAAATCACTACATAGACAGTTATTAAGCAAGAGGAGCAATAAGGGGATGGCATACTCTGACATCAAAACAACTGTAAATCAATAGGAGTGTATTCATCCATCTAAGTCAATATTCCAATGTAATCATCAACATCATAAATAATCAATGCACAGTGGAAACATCTATAGGGTACTTATTACCTTCATCATACGCTTGATTTTGAAATTTCCAACCATGTCTGTGTCTTGTCTATCTCCTTCACAACCATTTCATACAATTGTCAAATTATCTTTTAATTGCTTTTTGTGAGTAAATATAAGCGATGGTG